GGTTCTGTATACTTAAAAAGTTTAGAAAAGCATGACCACGCCACGCTCACGCCGCGGTGACTCCGAGGTAAGTCACCTAAGTTTTTAAAATTCTGCAAGTGCATGAGACTATAGTAAGAAACCTTAGGGGCCATCTATCCTCCGACTAGAAAGAGAACTTTAGGCAGAATTATAGAAAGTTTATCTAAGTCCAACTCTAGACTTTATCAGAATTTGAACTAGAATCAGTAGAGTAAAGCAGAAACTGGAACTCTAGCCAAGCTAGGTGTTTTCGGTAAATTACTTAAATTCGTCAAGTAGTCTAGCTATTTATTAATTGGCTATACTAATCAAGTTGCTATTTGGCTATTCAGAATGTTGCCCCGTAGAGCCCCACCCGCAGAGCGGGATCAGTCAGTAGTCGCAGCCCAGTTCCGGACTTACGCCCCTCCGGTGTTCACTGGAGAGGAGGGCCCGCTGGCCGTAGGAGACTGGATCCGCAAGATGGATCGTATTTTCCGAATGATGGGCATATCCGACCAGCACATGGTCTCTTGTGCCGAGTTTCAGATAGTGGGTGCGGCCGGAGACTGGTGGGACGACTACTGGCGTCTCAGGACAGCTGCGAGCGAGACCAGCTGACTTGGGATCAGCTTAAGGGGATTTTGGAGGCACTATTTGTATGGTGGTCGGTGCGAGATCTACACCTATCACAAGAGTCTGCAGTACATCTTCACGCAGAAGGAGCTCAACATGCGCCAGAGGCGATGGTTAGAGCTAGTGAAGGATTATGATTGCACCATCCAGTATCATCCGGAGAAGGCGAACGTGGTAGCTGATGCCCTTAGCCGAAAGGCGAGGGGCGAGTTGACTTGCATGATCACCCAGCAGAGTCAGCTCCTTCGAGAGTTCGCTCGGATGCAGTTAGACGTCGTCGAGTCACTTCCTACGATGCCTGTCGTAGTAGGTGTTTGGTCGATGAGAGTGTGGCCCATGCTCCGAGATCGAGTTCGGAAAGATCAGTCTATTGATGAGTTCGTTCGTTCCATGAGGGCGAAAGTTGTTGCCGAGGGCGTAGAGGGGTTTTACCGAGGCGTAGATGGTGCCTTGGAGTATAAGGGAAGGCTCGTCGTGCCGAATGTCGAGGCCCTGAGGAAGGAGATCTTGACCGAGGCTCACAGTGCACCCTATTTGGCGTACCCCGGCGGCACCAAGATGTACCACGACCTGAAAGGGTCGTTTTGGTGGAGGGGCATGAAGAGA